GCCGCCCCTTCGGCTGTTAATTTTATAGTTATTAATTTTGAGTTTAGTTTGTGCTTGTATAAAGGTTTCTTGAAGAAATGTCCACATTGTTTTCCCGGATACAGCCATCAAATTCATGCCTTTTAGGGTAGAATGAGTTGCCGTTCCAGGAAACTATATGGACTCCGGCTGGTTTTATTTTATTCATGCCAAAGCTTGAAGAACTGGAACATTTCCTAACATAGCCGCTATGCGGTTTATTGTGGCCTGAATTTCGCTCTCAGGCATGAGAAGGAGTTGGATCAAGCCTGGCTCAGGTTGGTGTTTTGGTGGGGTGGCGAAGGGGGGGGGTTGTTCGGGGATTTTGGTGGAGGACGTGGTGAAGAGTTTGAGCTGGCGGGTTAGCTCTTCTATTTGGATTGTTAGGGCCTGTATTATCTCATCCTGCTTTGAAACGCGAAGGCGAAGGCTTTGTTGTCTGCTTATTGAAATTTGGATCGGGATTCGTGCTTGGATTTGGAAGGGGCGGATATTTTTGGCTTACCAGGATTGAGGCTCACTCATTTTTAATTGACCACGTGTGTGGACTTATGTGGCTTTCTGGGTACCCGGTTATTTTCATGCTGTCTGCACTGAGGCTTTGAGCCTTAAAATGGGGGAAATGCCTGTGTTTCGACAGAGACGCTGAACGCACATGAATATTAATTAGCGGTGCGCACTTTTAAAAGTGCGCACCGCTATTTCGGCTTTCGTTTTATCCTTAGATTAACTAATTTTTATCAGACGGTTTAAAAAAAAACCGGTTAAATCGGCTAGCTGTAACTACGGTTCAGGTTACACGTTCGGAACACTGTTATTTTAGCAGTAACGTAAAATACCCGTCTGAGCCAGTACAAGTAAAAAGTTCAAAAGTTTTCGAGGATCACTAGTTTAGGTGCTAAGGTGTCGCGGAACACAGTTGGGAAACCTATGTTTTAAAATAATACCATTAGATGTATTTCCAGTTCTCTGCTTAAGAACGTTGGCAGCAAAATCTGCGATACTATTCATAAACAAGTCGGGTATTTGTATTTTCTGAAAAAATACTGATTTTTATAAGCGAATTTTGCACTGTTATTTACTTAAAATACTGTTGTGAATAGATGAATCATTCAGTTTTGATATCAGCTAAACTTTTACTGATAACTTTAGAAATCAAATTCTCGCATATCTCTATAATTTTATAGGCATACAAAACTTGTCAAGTCAGAGTTTGAGATAACACATCTGAAAATATTTGGTATCATGATTTCCTTAAGTAACAATCAGCAATAACAGTCACGCAAATTTCTAACGCATTT